CCGCTATCATCCACTCTTTCAAGGTAGTTTTAACTCCGTCATCCTTTCCACATCACCTCCTTTTCTGATAGCTTGCACTGCCATGCGACAAATTCTGCAAAAGTTCCCTTTCGCTAACAATCAACCTGGCTAGAATACGATGAGAAAGGTGTACATCACGAAACAAGTTGGCCTGCGATATTGCTGGTGGATAAGTTTTAATGTTGTTCAAAAAGTACAACCTTTCTGTTAACGATAAATGCTGTTACTGGCCATACTTGTGTGTAACCAACAGAGTACTGACAAGGGTGGAGCGGAATAATTAGCGGACATTGGTCAGTTCTCGAGTTTTGAATATGGCTGTGGGTTTGCTTACAGCCGTCTGTACATTTACCTTGTTTGTGTATTGAAGGACGCAGGTAACCTTTTCTGATCTGTCAATAACGCCGCCGACATTTTTGTTGTTCTTGACTTGCTCAGACTGGCTAGCGGTGGGGTAATCTTAGTAATAGAGCGAGGGTGTAAAATTGACAAAAGGACAAGAGCACAGCCCACGCAACTGAGCAATTAAGTGGTGGGACGGCCAATGCAAAGAGCAATTAGACGGGAAAAATTTAGCATATTTATGAGAAAAATTTATATTTCGAAAAACTGGGCAGAAAACGAGGTGGGCTATAAACCGGGTGGGCAATAAAGCGAGTTCGACTATATAGCTTAACATGGTAACAAACCAGCCTCAATGGCGTTTGCGCTGTAATTTTTTGTCTTTTCCCTTCCAACCACGTTCTCACACCTGATGCGTAATATAACTTTAAACAACATATAACTTTTGGTCTGCATATTATATTCTGTTATGCCTTACATTTCGTATTTTTCATATATCTTAGCTTCTTGTATTGCGGCACATAAACTTCTCACCGTCATATAACGTGCATTTATGATGATGTTTATGATGATGATGATGTTTCTGCTGCTGATGAGGATGATGCATAACTGTAGAGGGGCCGCTTCCAAGAATGCCTCGGGGGAGCTCTTCGGAGCTAGCTGTGAGCGGATCGGGAAGGACGGCTAGCGACGAGCCTGGGCCCGGAACTACGGAGCGGGAATATGTGGACAGCGCAATAAATCAGACATATACGCCGCTAGCGCAGCCCACAGGATCGAGGCCGAGCCGATTGACACAGCCCAGAACAAGCAAGTCGAGAGCTCTCGAACGACTCCTGGCCGATCCAAATCGGGTAAAGAGAAGTGGAGATCGAGGCGAAAACAGGAAGGCGGGTCTTCCAAGTCAGAGCTCCCGAGGCGAAAGGACTGGCGCGTCTCTAACATCCGTACCTGTGTTGCGTTGTGGGACGGAAATCTAGTCGATATTCGATGGCGCGCGTGAGACCCCGGTGTGCCCATTTTCGGTGTGCAATAAACGTCTACCCCCCTGTCGTGTCGTTCTCGCTACATAACAACTAATGCGGCTGAACACACCAGTGCGCTCTGTACGCCACGCTTGGTTACAGCATCAGGGCAGAAGAAGGCTGTTTCTGTATCTAACAAATCCGCCGTATTAGAACGCATAAAAGATGCTTCAAATCCGGTGCACCTAACTAAAGCTGGTAGGCCAAGTGGGTCAATTGTTCAAGATGCTGGCTCACAGATTAGGTGCTTACTCAATAACCGCAGGCAATACCACACTATTGCGCACTGCTTGCGCTTGCTTATCAGGTGAAAAGCAGAACGCAATAGCCCTGACTCACATTGATAGGAACGGGGACTGACAAGCATCGATTTCTAATGCACTGATGATTTGCTCTTTCCGCATTATGACAGGGTTAAGCCAACCATACTTTTATAGACCAGGCAGAGAAAGACTTTTCCACTTTTGCCAGTCGACGCGACTGCGATATGTTACCGGGATACAAAGCGGTCGGTCACTTTTGGGATCATAAAGGCGTAGTGAAAAAAGCTGTCAGGTTGCACCCGTCGCATGAAGGTAATTTGCATTGTAAAAGTGCACGTAGCCCTTTCGCCGTCTGTTGGAAAGCAGTAGCATGCGATCCACATATAGCTATTTCGTTTGCACTCTCTGTGTTTGAAAGAATTTCGTTATTTTGGTACATGGCTATTCCTGAAACAGCTTCAGTTTCCTATTTCACCCGTCTCTAATTTCTGGACTTCACGATAGCAGCCTAGGTAAATTTGGGTGTGGACCTACTCACAGGAGAACGACTTTTTGACTTAGAGTATGCAGACGACTTTGCCCTCATTTGTGACAGCTCCCAGACATGCCAAGCGTCGCTGGACAGATTAGCACTAGCTGTCAGCCGCTTCGGGCTTTGCTTTGCACCATCGAAATGCAAAGTATTCCTCCAAGCTTGGCAGGGATCGCCTCCTGCGCCGACTCCTGGTGGGGATCAGCCAGAAGTCGTTCAAAAATTCAACTACCTGGGAAGTTGTATCAGCGCCCTTGGGATCGAAGACGAGATCACGAACCGTATAACAAAAGCTTGGGGCGCTTCTGCTAAACTTCGCCACTTATGGCGCCGGCGCGATATCACTCTCGCCCTGAAGGGTAGAGTGTACAATGCAGCGGTACGTTCGAGCTTGCCGTACGGTTGCGAAACCTGGCCCCTAAGATCGGCGGACATGAAGAGGCTAGTTACGTTCGAACAACGGTGCCTTCGCAGTTTGGCTCACATCTGGTGGGAACACCGCGTGAGTAACGAGCGTGTTCGACGCCTTATTTACGGCACAGGAAAAGGAACTGAACCGTTCATTACCGTCATTTCACGCACTTGGCTCCGATGGCTCGGCCACTTCTTGAACATGCCAACCCACCGACTTCCACTACGTGTTTTGTTTGCTCACCGGGGATGTGGATGGAAGAAGAGTAGGGGTGGCCAAGTGATGACTTGGTCGAGAGGAATGAAGTCCCTCACTTCGGAGCTGGTCTCGGTTGGAACGTCACGGCTCCCTGGTTGGGGTCCAAAATACGATGAACATGTTTGGCTGGATACACTTGCTGATATGGCAAGGAGCGGACCTCAGTGGCGTTCATGCTGTGAGTTTCTTTGTCCTTTCCCATCCCTTTTAGCCTCCCCATCCACCTACGATCTCATTTCGTAGCGTAAAACATAATAATGTTTCTTTTTGTCTAATGGCCGGCTAGTAGCTTACCGGAACGATGTCTATCCGTTGCTGGTAGCTCAGCTGACATGCAACTTTGGTATTTATTTTCCTTCCCTTTATGTATTGCGGCACAGTATCTGAGGTGTTTCCAACCTGTTGCTGACTTGGATAATGATAACGATGAGGCAAATGTTGTGCAACGACCCTTCCCACAGACCTCCATTAACTTCTCCTCTACTAATGTTGTGTACTACGTGGATATCTTCGTCTTTAAATGCATCGGTACTCTAGCCAACGGCGATTATCATTATTACAAGCGTTTCTTAAACTTTTACCTGCCCTGGGTTGATCATGAACTGTATCCGCCTTTCCTACTTGAGTGAACGTGATTCCAGGGGAACAAGCCAGATTCCAAGGACAAATAACAGAGCCAAGTTTGTCTCAATGTAAGCACTCACACTTACTCGGGTTGGTCAAACTAGGCACAGCGAATAGTGCACACAAAGGGAATTGATCAACCAACTTAAGCGGTTCAAGACGAACCGACAGCCTAGCTTGGCCAATGCACTGGTGAAATCTTGCACAGCCACTCAGTGCTCGCAACTGGCCAATTTGTACAGAAGTTGTAGGAGCTATCATCCATCGATAGGTGGCATGAAAGCCAGGGAGTCATACGTAATCAATCACTGGGATCAAAGATAAGACAGCAAATTTGTTGGACACACAAGATATTCCTCCACTGCTTAGTGTTGTTTCATTGTTGTGTCAAACAACAAAAACAACGACGACGAAGACAATTGCAGCACAACAGCCAGTTGAACTGATACTTCGCTGCCATACAACCATGATGACCTATGAAATAAAGAATAATAAGTGGGAGAGAAGGGGGACTTACCTGTAAACCTTAATGCCCTAAGCAAACATTCAGGGTCAAGGCGACCACACCTTGTGTCAACAACATACCGTCACAAACAGCTGGCTATGGTGCAAAGATAAGGCGGCATCGGTGAGACAGATTCCTTGCGGCTTTCACTGCCCCGCGTCATAATCAGGCATTACCCCGCAGATAAGTTAGCACCGAACACACCCTCAGCAGGCAATCTGATTAGGAGAAGGCAGCAGACGCGCCACTGGTGTCGGTTGCAAACCATGGGCTGTAAAGTCTCGAGCCAAGCCACAGGCGGGTCACGTGGACTCCAGCCTGAAAGGCGAGACGGAGCGACGGCACCGAGTTTGATCGTCAGTGACTTCCTTTCCCGCTGCCAAGTCGAATTTTGTCCACCTCGAGCCTTGTGCCACCCTATATCTGGCAGACCAAACAAGGATCTCCTATGTAAGCAGTGACCAGACATAGGTAGTACAAGCCCAAGCCAAGGCAAATTGTTCATTGCTATCTGTTGTTCTAAGGAAGTACCTAGTATTCGCCTACGCACATCATAGTTGTGGACATGCTGGTGCCACCGGACACCAGCAACGCTTCGCAGATAATGATAATCAAAAACTTGAGGGTGCCTCAGATCATCAGACTGAAGGGGCCAAGTCATACTCCCATAGAGTAGAACGGGCCTCATTGTGCTAAGTGGCACTTTGACTCAAAACCTAGAAAGGGATATTTCGCAATCCCTTGTGACGAGATGTGAGAGCATGCCGTACTTTAGGAACACTGCCGACTATTTATGGCAGTTCAACTGCAATGAAGATGCTTTACCTAAACGTGTACACAGCTCCGTCCACAAAGAAACTATCCGTCAATTTGCAACCTTAGCTGATGTGAACTGGTCCTATCTGACCATTTCAGATGTTAAACATAGGCCTTCAAATTTCGTTTAACTCATGCATCGTTAAGTCACTTACTGACACCAGACAGCGAACAGGAAAGTGCCAAATGATTGTTTACTCACCTGCGCAGACAAAATGTGAGCTTCAACTAGGGTCGGGTCTATACTCAAACAAGTCTTTATGACGCTGAGCGCCGCTGTTATATCGCCTGATAGGTAATAGACCTTGGCGCGTAAATATTGCGCCTCTTGGTGTCCAGGGACAACGTTAACCAGATAATCCAGAACGCGAAGGCATTGAATCAAGGTGACATCCTTCTGTCCAGTTAAATCCGTGCGGGACATGTGGAATGAACCCGGAGGCTGTTGTGGAGCATGGAGCATGTATTCGCGGACCAAATGAAGCAGAAAATCTGGGTTGAGCTTTTCGTAGTACTCAAGGTTTCGTATTACGCCCTACAAGGAATAACATGCTGGGATGTAAGCATAATGGTTCTGAAAAGGAGAAACTACATACAGCTTTTGTATCGAAAGCCAAACTGTGTGTATGGTTATATATTAACCGGTCGTCTACCAACTTTTCTGAAATGATGGCTTCCCGATCGGTACCAAATACGTTCCAATATATCGAGTACGTACAGTGTACTTGTTAGGTTTCAAGCCGTATAATCTAACTGCGGTCTAAGCTCCAAGAACCACTAAACTTTTATTAAGAACTGTATACCAGATTTGGATGCCACTGTCTTCTCGTCTTCTTATTCCTACTCTCACGCTTTTGCCCCCTTATCCTCCCGTTCCAACTTCACTGTTATCTCCCCTATTTTCAAGCCCGAATCCTGGGCATCGCACATACGCTTCGATAGGCGTTTATCTTCTAGTCTCAATTCACATACAAAAAACGGAGCGTCACTCCTGCCCTGTCGACAAGCCCATGTCCAGGCAAGCGGCCAAGCCCAGTATATGGGCGTCCATTTGGAGCCCACGATCCTCCCTCAGACTGGAATGCCTCAATGTACGCATATTGCTATAGAACGGTCAACAGGCAGCACTTGCTCGAACAATAGTGTGACTTGGCGCCCACCATCCTCGAAGCAGCTATGCACGCAATTCGATCACATTGCGGTAAGTTACCGATGGAGAGGCCGCGTCCAGAACTGTCGCTCGATTTAAAGCACGTGTGGACGTCGACCATGCACTTATATGTGCTGACCTACGGATGCGTTTTAGCGGACGCTTACGACGACGTTGTGAACGTATTGACAACAGTCAGCTGGCGAGGTCAGCTGTTCTGAATGCCTATCCAAGTACACTGATATACGGGTTAAGTAAGTGCTCAATGGAGACAATTGAAGGTTGCTGGTTGCATGTTCACAAGGGGGAAAATCCTCAGGTGGTAAGTCTAATAGCCACCAAGGACATGGGGTCGCTTTGCGTTCTCTGGAACTTATCGATGCTCGCCTGTACATTCTGGCTGGAAGCGAACATTATGAGACTCGCAAAGACCTGAGGGTAAAACTCCGTGCTAGCCTGAGGAGAGACCGCGAATCTTGGTGGTCTCAGCGTGCGTCAGAGATGGAAGTGGCTGCTGCCCTTGGCAACCATCGTAAGTTATTCCGTCTGATATGGAAACGGGCAACAGGTGTTAATGAAACTATACGTGACGAGGGTGGACAGCCTATCCACACTTTGTTAACACCTTTAGAGCATGGGCTGAGCATTTTGAAAGGAATTTCAATCGGTCGGAATTGTTAGATTTCTCACCGGCCATTGATCGGCCTGCTCCCTGGGCTGTCCCATTGAATCCGCCTTGTCGCTCAGAAGTCCAACGTGAGATCGGACTGTTCAAGCTTAATAAAGCCGCGGGATCAGATGATATTCATCCAGCCCTCTTTAAATTCGGGGGGACCTGCTCTTTTGGATGATTTACACGAGGTACTAGTGAAACTGTGGGGGCAGGAAACTGACCCAACCGACTGGGGCCGTTCCGTTATTATTCTTATCTTCAAACGAGGCTCGCGTTCGGAATGCGGCAACCAGAGAGGAATCAGTCTGATCTTCATCGCCTCCAAATTGTTTGCCTCTGTAATCCTTCACAGACTGCCTGGCGCTCGTGGAAACCAGATTCGTGGGGAGTAAGCCGGGTTTCGCCGGGGTCGTGGCTGCAATGACCACATCTTCACTTTGCGTCAGCTGTTGGAGCACCGGCACATATATTGGCGGCCCACCGTAGTCGTGTTCCTCGACATTAAAGGCGCCGTTGATTCGGTTGATCAATGTGTGCTTTGGGACTGTCTACCCAGGAGAACTGTGTGCGAGAAGCATGTAAATATTATCCATGCACTATACGCGCGTATCTCGGGCAGAGTGAGGGCTTACAGTAAGCTGCCGCTGCAATTCACTATCTCTATCCGTGTGAGACAAGGATGCCCACTGGCACCTTTCCTATTCAACTTTACCAATGAAGAAATCATGGAGATCGCGTTCATAGGACATGACTGAGGTGTGGAGCTGCTCCCAAGAGAACGACTTCTTGACTTGAGTATGCTGACGATATTGCCCTACTCTGTGACAGCTCCCAGATTTGTCAAGTCGCGCTGGACAGATTAGCACCGGCCGTTAACCGTTTCGGGCTTTGCATCGCACCCATGATGTGCAAAACTTCCTTCCAAGATTGGTATAGACAGCCTCCTTCGCTGACCCTTTGTGGGGATCAGTTAGAAGTCGTCAAAATTAATCTATCTGGGAAGTTGTATCAGTGCCCGTGGGATTGAAGATGAGACCATGAACCGCATAGCAAAAGCTCGAGGCGCTTTTGCTAACCGCCATCTATGGCGCCGGCGCGATATCACTCGCACCCTGTAGGGTAGAGTGTATAGTGCAGCGGTGCGCTGGACACTACATTATGGTTGTGAAACCTGGCCCCTTAGATCAGCGGACATAAAGGGGCTAGTTACGTTCGACCACCGGTGCCTTCGCAACTTGGATCACATCTGGTGGGAACACCGAGTAAGTAACCAGCGTGTTCGACGCCTTGTTTACAACACAGGAAAAGGAAATGAACGGCCCAGCACCGTTATTTCGCGCACCAGGCACCGATGGCTCGGCCACGTGTTACGCATGCCAGCTCACTGGCTCCCGCGACCCGCGTTGTTTGAGCGCCAGGGATGTGGATAGAAGAGGTGAGGTAGCCAAGCGTTGACTTGGTCGAGAGGATTGAAGGCCATCACTTCAAAACTGGCCTGGGTTAGAGCTTCTTGGCTCCCTGCTTGGGGTCAGAAAGAAGATGAATAGGTTTGGCTGGATACACTTGCTGAGATGACTAGAGCCGACCTCAATGGTGTGCGTGCTGCGTTCCTTTGTTCCTCTCCATCCTTGTTAGCTATTCCCTGCAGGCACGATCTCATTTCTTAGCATAATATAAGTTTACATATTTCTTGGTTGCTTAGTAGCCGGCAGGTAGCTTTTCGGAACGACGCCCATCCGTTACCGGTGGCTCAGCTGGCATGCATCTGTTGCATGTTTGTTCTATTTCTTTCTTTTATAGATTGCGGCACAGTAGCTGAAGTGTTTAGACCTGTAGCTAATGCGTATAATGATGATGACTCAACCGATCTACGCCACAACGCAATTTCTCAATTGGTTTGTAGCTGCGGAAGTAGTTACATTGGCAGAACAGCTCGTTCTTTGGGTAAGTGGATTGCTAAGCTATCGACACAGTAAGCAGCCTAAGGAGAAATGGTTTAGACTGCCTGCATAAATCATTGTCGGACAGCTAATCGAAACAGACCATCAGGTTTGCCCTGGGTCACGGTTTACAGCTATCTTTGGAGACCAAAGCCACAGATTATTGAAGTTTGCCGAGGCTGTGGCGCTTAACCGGCGTCGCTTCAATTTTTGTGTACAATAATCATTATCAGTTTCCCTAAGGCTTTCTTGGGGCTCATGATTGGTAGATTGGACTGGGTGTGGAGATGGTGAGTTGTTCACCTAGCTGGACATTCTGACTGAAGTCGTTTCTTCATCAATCGACCTTGATACCTCCGGTGCGTAGCAGTAGTTTTGGTGATAGTCACAATAGTGTGGGCAAATCTGGTCAACATTTCGACTTCAAATCTGTGATTCTGATTCATGGGATCATTCAAAGTGAAATCACCTTCAGGGTTGCGCGCTCTTAAGATCGCACCTCAGGAACAGTTTTTCTAGTATTTGAATTTTCAGGTAACGAAAGCAAAGGGAGCCGACTTTGGGCTTAAGTGGTCGTGACTCTCATGGAAACATGAGTTCAGCAAGATTGGCACTTCAATTATACGGCGCGTACTCCAGTACCAAGTGAAAGTCAACAAATGTCGCGACATGTAATGTATACTGAGTCTAGCGACCTGGTAGCGATTTTTTATCAGAAACATGCAAACTTTGTGTTCTTTTTACTTTATTTATTTATTACATTTGCAGCAAAAAGACAAGCTAGCCGTGCAATGTGCAGTGAGGTCATCAAGCGGACGTCTGCTCTGCATGGTTATAACCAGTCATCCACATTCGCCTCCGCAGCTTCACAAGCTATTGTCCGCTCAAGACCAATCAGCAAAGACGAACCCGATCGAGTGGTGGGATATCACGCAGATCACTAAAATTAACACTTATAAAACACACACTGCGCATTGTTGTGTAGAACTGCCAAAGTAAACCGGTCCTCAGTACAAGAAGCACACAAGGCGAGTATGCAGCAAGCTGAAGTTCAAGCTGAAGTTCATTGGACCTGAGGACGTGAGCCATTTTCACTGACACAGACCGTTCTATACATTTTCTTAGTCAAATGCACAGATAGTGGAAGTAAATTTCTTCTTCAGGAAATTACATTACACAGTGGATCTCTTCAGATGGTACTTCCCGCTATCCAAATGCATCCAACGGGTGCGAACGCCCCTAAATGTGTGTTGTTCGTGGAGTGATCGATCCCAAATCAGTCCACAACACACAAAACGAATACACGAAATGAGATGCCAGATGGCGCTAATATGTTACCCGCATTGTTCATTGATAGTGCGCGGGGAAATAACACACACGTAAAAAGTAGTTCACATGGACGGCCAATTGCTAGCAAGCGCTTTCTTTGATAGAGAATGCACTTGTACCCGTGAGGAAACTACATGAAATATTCCCCAGCACCAAGTACAATCGAACTATGGCGCACTATAGACAGCATGCCAGTGCAATCTAGAGCACCCTCTCAGGTAAATCAAGAGCTAGGATGGCACACGCTTTTGCCGTCCCTCAGGTTTCACTAGCCAGACTTCACTAGGTCAGACGAAACTCCACAACAGTGCGTGACTGGCAAGGCTGGCTAGCCGAACAACCTCGTGGTGCCAACTGGGTGGTTCGGGTTTGACCCGTTCCAGCAAATAGTTTGGCGGCAGTGTTCCAGGACGTGGTGGGTTTTCGCCTGGCAAGCGTTCTCCCTATAAAAAGCCACAAATGTCTGCTTAACAACACTGTGACGTGGCGGTCGTGACTCGCCACAAAATAAAGTCACTGCCCCGTGGGTATCCGAATAATCCTTTCCAACGCACGGACATCCATCTTCTACTCGAGCATTGCCGACGATATGAGAGTCAAAATTAGAGCAGCACAGTTACAAACAGGAACCTCACAGTTACACACCCGCACACACACAGTTACATAATTACATACCCCCTACATAAACATACACTGGTACGGCAAACATAACGGATTCTTGCATATTCTTGACCACGCATTGTTATGTCAAAATGATCATGCCTGTAAAGGCGTGCCTCGCCTTGTCGAGAATAAAATTTATTTATTTATTTATTTATAGATGCTGACCTCAGGGTAACACTTATTGGTTGCGCGATGCGGTTCCTATCTGCTTCGAGTTAGCTCTTAGATGCCAGGTGGTTTTGACATTTAGGCGTCAGCATGTTCTTACGTTTGGGCAGATATTTGCTCTGGTCACGAACTTCGCCGGGCTGCGTTCTAGAAACAGCACCTTCCTAGCCTCCAGTGCGTCACATACTGCTCTCTACTCATGACCCATCAGCAGAGGTGGACTTGATGGAGTACTTGGATAGCACTTGGGTCACTAACATCCATGTTCATAAAACGCCCGCTGTAAATACACCTATGGTTTGTAGGTAGTAAACTGCTCGGCCATTGTTGTCGAGATCAAGGTTGATTTGATCTTGGCGCCGCTCACTGTGCTGCTCTTCTTTTATGTAGAAGGTAACTTTTAGATTCTTGATTCGCCATCTTCCACTCAATTTGATGCGATAGCCACTAGATGACGAGTGAACGCGCGAGCTCTGCTGCCTATTTTCACTTTCCCGGTGGAGGCGGGGGCTGTCTACTTTCGAGGAGCCCCATTAGGATGTAACGGCTGTCCAGTGCTTTTCCGAATGTGCTGGGAACTGCTTGGCTGCAAACTGACTGGGAAGCATCACTTGCAACATAAATTAACAGATTTATATCCTGTTAATGCAGGCTTTCAACTGTTAACGACGGAGGAGGAGTTCACAGACAACACGGAGTTAAATCGGCAAAAATTGTTCAGTATGCTATTTAAAATAGCAAAAAGGTACGAAGTGGAATGCTGCGCATGGCTTCCCCATAATACTTGTGCACTGAACCTCCCATTAATTAACTCAGCAGTAAAATGAGCTAGATATATTGATAATGCAATTTTTTATACGTTAATTGAACGCCCATATCTATGTGTTGAATTAACAGGTTTACATAATATACATTTCCTCAGAACTCTTACTTCTATCGCCCGAAAGTGTAAGTCGATCGCTTCGTCGAGATGGGCAGTTATTTTCTTCGCTGGGATAGATTGTCTTCTGCCCAGAACAGCCGTTAGATAGCATAACTCCTGAAAGGAAGACGCAAGAAAAATATGCGCTTATTCTTTAGGCATTAGTAGTTAATTATATCCACTTGTGTGTTTTTATTTTTTAAGTATTTATGACATGCAGAGTTCAGATGGCACTAACCGCTGACTTTCCAATGGTTGGCTGAAGCTCTTTGAGGAATTCCAACTGAGCAGAGGCTTCCTTCAGGTTATCTTGTGCCAGTAGACAGTGCAAGGTGCCTGTACGTAGCAAAACAGATTGAACGATAATGAAAATTCAGCAGGAGTACCGGAACAAGACGTGGTTATGCACTAGCTCAAGCTCGATTGACGTCTGCTGCAGCAAAATAGTTCAGTTATTTTTAACTTCTTTGAACGACAGTTTGCTCAGTGTTTTGAGGATCTCAGTCTGTGGCCTTGCTGCGGATGGCGTCAATAATCATACCTATTAACATAGCAATGGCATAGGCTCATATCTGTTTGTATGCATTTCTACAAACTGATGTTCAAAGATTGTGGATCAACGTTCTGCTTCAACCCTCTGATTGCCGTCACAGTCATTTCTGCTCCCAGCAAGATGTAAGCAAGTCAAATTGATTTTTACTAAGTGAAAACACCACGGAGCGCAGATAAAATGCAAAATAATTGATTGACTACTAGTTTAAATTTTACACTCTGCAATATCGCACGACGTTCCAAAGGCAGGGGTACCTAATAACTATTATGATTTCAGGAGCTGACTTCTAAACATTTCGCTTATCCGTCCAGTTTATCCTTCTTTAATTGCTTGTTACCTGAGTCTATTGCAGTATCGACACTTATGGAGTTACCCGTCACCCACCGAAGCATTGGATTTCCGCCGTCTCCTTGTCGCTGATGGACAAACGCCGCTTTATTCCACCGGATTCCAGACACAATGACAAACGCCAGTCCCTGGGTCGAGAGTTGCGCAGGAGTCTGCAAATCGACCGCGAAGCTTGGTGGGGTGAACGTGCTAGAGAGATGGAGCTTGCTAGTCTCTCTGGTAACACCAGAAAACTCTTCCAACTCATTCGAGTCCCCACAGGTGTTCGATCTGGTATAAGTGAAACAATATGCGAAGAGGATGGTACCTTAATCACCGATCTTCAACGACGGTTGGAACGATGGGCCGAACAGTTTGGCACACAGTTTTGTTGGACCCTAACTCCATCTGCTACCTCAGGCGCTCGCGCTGGGGACAGGTGGTCTACCCCACAGATCCTCCCTCTTCCCAGGAACTCGAGCAGGAGTTCCGGCACATGAAGCGCTATAAAGCTCCCGGCCCTGATGGTCTTCACCCAGCTATATTTAAAGATGGTGGCGCTTCGCTGATTCGCGAACGCACCGCTTTGTTCTCGAAAAGTTGGTCGAAAGAGAAAGTTCCATCATCTTGGGGTGAATCGATAGTCGTCCCCATCTTCAAAAAGGGCTTGCGCACAATCTGCTCCAACTACACAGGAATAAGCTTAGTCCCCGTCGTTTGCAAGCTGCTGGTGTCCATCATACTTCGCTAGCTATCCCCAACGCGTGAATCGTTGCAACGAGACGATCAAGCTTGATTTCGTCCTGGTCGCGGCTGCATCGATCAAATCTTCACACTTCGCCAGATCCTCGAGCTCCGCATGTGTATAAGAGGCCAACGATTGCTGTGTTCCTGGATATCCGTGCAGCCTTCGATTCCCTCGATCGTCCGGTACTGCGGCACTGCCTACTGAGGAATGGTATCCCTGAGATGTTCGTCTCCATACTGCGCGCCCTCTGTAGGCTGACCTCGGGCAGGGTTAGGGCTTATGGCAAGCTTTCGCCTACCTTTGTGGTCTCCAGTGGAGTTCGACAATGATGCATTGTCTCTACATTCCTATTCAACTTCGCAACTGAGGATGTCCTGAAGAACGCTCTGGGCGATTCCTTGAACCTTGGCGCTGACCTCCTCCCAGGTAGTCGAGTTGTTGATTAGGATTATGCTGATGAGACCGTCTTGCTGGGTGACGATCCACATATCGTCCAACTTGCACTAAGCCGCTTGGCGATTGAAGCATCAAAGTATGCTATGTACTTTTCGCCATCCAAATGCAAGGCTCTCTTCCAAGCCTGGCAGGTGCCTCTGCCTGAACTCACTCTTGGTGGTGAAGAGAGCTTTGTCTACTTGGGAAATCGCATCACTGCTGGCGGGGCTGTTCGCAGACGAGATTTCGATGCGCATCTCGAAAGCACCTCTCGCTTTTTCTAGGCCGAGGCACTTGTGGCGTCACCACGACATACGTCTCTCCATCAAAGGGCGGGTCTATTGTGCAACTGTTCGTGCCGTACTGTTGCACGGATGCGAGACCTGGCCCATTCGTAAAGATGACCTGCGCAGGCTATCGGTCTTCGTGCAGCGCTGTCTGCGGTCCATTGGCCGTGTGTGGCGGCAGCGCCACGTAAGTAATGTGGAAGTTAGACAGCGTGTCTTGGGACGTGGAAGCCACTCGCTCGAGGAACTCGTCTCACTGCATCAACTGCGGTGGTTGGGACACGTATTGCGCATGCCTGTTCAGCGTTACCTGCGTCGTGCGTTGTTTGCGGTTGCTGAACAGGGATGGAAGAGACGGTCTGGTGGACAGTCTACAACATGAAGAAGTCGCATGAAGAAGCTGACGAAACAGTTGGCCTCGGCGGGTTGTTGTCGACTACCTGGTTGGTGTCCGAGGGATGCGGATACTTGCTGGCTGGAGACCTTGGAAGCCATAGCTGAAGATCGATGTCAATGGTGTACGTGTGCATCGGTGTGTTGCGGTGTCCCTTCTTTCTCCCCTTAATAAAACAAACTGAAAAATTTCAAAAACTGTGTGGTAAACTAGACACAAAAGCTTTTGTTGTTGTTGTTATTCCTTCTTATTATTCATACTGTTTTCGTATTCAGGCATAATTCCGATGGCACAATATCTGTATCACAGATTTTGTAATATATATATATATATATATATATATATATATATATATATATATATCTGTCCATTGCAGATAATAAGGACAGAGTTCAGTAGCATAAGTCTGACTACCGTACCTCATCCAAAAGCATTTAACATAGGAAGTTAGTGAAGCGTTGCGAGAAAATATAAGCCGGTTCTTTTGGTTAAACGTGAAGATTTAATGGATTAACGTTGAACGCTTTCATCCGTCATTTTAAACTAAGAGTATTTGTGTGCTCATCTACCAAGATCAATTCCATTAACATCACATGTAAGTAACTGTGTACGTTATATAGTTAACCCAAGCGCGCCTGAAAATGGCAGCCTGTCAAACAAGTGCCTTATTGAGTCCCCTTCGGTTTCTATTATTGAAAAATGTACCACCACACCTATGTTTATGTTCAGACAATGCTGGGAAACAATAGTTTTTGTGAAATTTGGCGGATAATCAAACAACTGAGCGGACACAGTCTGCATGACACAAATTCTGTCATGTACGTAAAGAAATTAAATCGCAACCTCTGCTGCTCCAACAACAGTGGTTCATTCTTTGAAGCATGAATTACAGTTTTAGGGGTCTACGGACTCAATACTACCTGTGGAGTCTGCATCACTGCAAAAGAAGTCAACCCAGTAACCCTTCGGTGATGCGAGCGGACTTGACAAGTTGTCTCCCGTCGTTCTCAACTTGTACGCAGATTTCGTAGCCCATCATCTGGGTGAGTTGCACGCAATTTGCGAATGGTTGGAGGCTTGCTTTGCATAACGCCAGTGCAGAAGAAGGGGATGGGTGAATACCGGCCTATTGCATGCACCACGATCGCTTTGAAAATATGTGAAAAACTAAATCTTGAGAGTATGGTAGCCCATTCCCGTTCAGAGAACGCACATCAATACGCATACATTAGTTTGATGCGTTCACAAAGCGCAATCAATTTTCCAGTGCTTTCAGTGTTGCAGTCGCTAGGCAATGATTAACGAACGGGCTGACTGGATAAAGTGGTCAGTTTATAGAAAAAAGAGGAAAACGTCTGAATGAATAGTGAAATTGATGATGGCCAGCGTGCTTTACGCCACGCCAGCACACGAGCAGATGAGGTATGCCTGTGCCGGTGAAACCTCTTGACGGACTATGCCACATCCATCACAATGATGCTGGAACTTACCGTGGTGCGATTTTTTGCGTGCTTCATAGATCCATTGAGCTATGCTGGGTGGTGCTTTTTTGCACCTTCAGAGCCACTCCTACCAGATTGGTCAATTAGTAGAGACCAGACAAACTCAGACTGCAGGTCCTCCAAGTTTGCCGGGGGGGGGGGTGGCTCTTTATTCCTTAAAACGAACTCCTTGTAGCCCAACGCCAAACCCGCTGCCTTGCGGTCAGATTTTCTACCAAAAGGTTTGGTTGAGAACCCTAATCGTTCTCCAGTCTAGGTCTAGGAAACCTGACAGTATCCTGCCCACGCAATACAGTGAATTACGCTACAAACAATATTTTGGTGCACTGGCCGTACCAGAGGATTATCAAGGATGTCCTGTCTGTTGCATCAAGCAGTGCGGACAGAAGTTTGGATGTTACTGATTAAATCTTTCCGTTTGCTTATGTTCACTCTCAGGCTTTTGCCCCCTTATCGTCCCGTTCCAAATCCATGGTTATCCCCCTATTTTCAACCTCCAATTCTTGACCACAACACTATGTTTTGATAAGCGTTTGTTTTCTAGTCGCAACTCATACATAAATGGAGCGTCAATCCTGCACTGTCGACAAGCCCATGTCCAAGCAAGCGGCCAAGCCCAGTTCGTCGGCTGCCATTTGGAGCCCTCGATCCTCCTTCAGACTGGAATGTCTCAATGTACGCACATTGCTATAGAACGGTCAACAAGCAGCAATTGCCCGAACAATAGAAACCCTCACATTCGAGAGCAGCTGCTTATCGGACACCCGCTTGCAAGACCCGAACTCTGTGCTCACTTTGCGATTCCCTTCATGTGACACCAGCAGCACTTTTTCATTACGCCTATCCGGTGACGATGCCGCTTCGAGCACCAGCCATATCTCTGTTGGTATTGCCCTGAGTCCCCGGATTGAAGAAACTCTGATTGATTGGATCCCAATCAGTGGCCGGATGTGTCCGGTACGACTAGGTGGCTTGTTCAAAGCTTCGAAACGGCACAGGACTAACTGGTGTTTTTCGTGATCGCTGCCTACGCCCCCATCAATTGTAGCGATGATTCCGTGAAAGACGACTTCTATCATCAACTGAACAAGCTCCTTCTCCACAGAAGGAGCTCAGACACTGTTGGGCTGGCAGGGGATATGAACGCTCAAGTTGGGAAATTATCCACCGATACACTGCATCTGGGCGGCCAACCTGGTGTAGGCTCCCGTAATGATAACGGTGAGCGGTTACTTCGTTTGTGTGAAGATGCTCGCTTATTTGTTGCGTACACTAATTCCCGACTTGGCGCCCACCATCCTCAAAGCAGCTATGGACGCAAACCGATCACATTGCGATAAGTTACCGATGGAGAGGCCGCGTTCAGAACTGTCTTTCGATTTGGAGCACATGTGTTGACACCGAGCATGCATTTGTATGTGCTGACCTGCGGATGCGTTTTGGAGGACGCCCATGACGACGTTGTGAACGCATTGACACCATTCAACTGGCGAAGCCAACTGTTCTGAATGCCTATCAAAGTACACTGTCATGCGAGGTGAGTAAGCGCTCACTGGTGTCAAATTCACCAGACCTCATTTGCAGCAGGAAAAAACTCATGTGGTATGTCTAATAACCAACTTGGATATTGGGTCTCCTCGTACTCTGTAACTTATCTATGCTGGCTGGTATATTCCGGCTGGAAGCGAACACAATATAACTCGCAAAGAGCTTCGGGTAAAACTCAGTGCTAGCCTGAAGAGAGACCGCAAATCCTAGTGGTCTCATCTTGCATCAGAGATGGGAGTGGCCGCTGCCCTTGGTAAGCATCGTAAGTTATTCCGTCTGATATGGGTAACGGGCAGCAGGAGACCTGGTGTTAGTGAAACTATACGCGACGAGGGTGGGCAATCTATCCACAACTTGTCAAAACGCTTGGGGCGTTTTGCTGGGCAATTTGAAAGGCAATTTAATCGGTCGGAATTGTTAGAATTCTCGCGATCACTGATCGCTCTGCCCCCTGGGCTGTCCCTTTGGATCCACTCACTCGCTCAGAAGTCCAACTTGCGATCGCTCTATTAAAGTTAACTAAAGCCGCTGCACCAAAATACATTCCTCCAGCCCTCTTCAAATTCAAGGAATCTGCTATTGTGGATGAGTTATACGCCTTAATTGAGAAAATGTGGGAGCAAGAAACTGTCCAAACCGACTGGTGGCGCTCCGTCATAGTCTCAATTTTCAAGGGAGGCTCACGCTCGGAATGCGGCAACCATAGCGGAATCAGTCTGAACCCAGACGACTCCAATCCGCTTGACTCTGTAATCCTTCACAGACTGTCTAGCACTCGGGGAAGCCATATTCGTGAAGAGCAAGCCGTGTTTCGTCGAGGTGGTGGCTGCTTTGACCACATCTTCACTTTGCATCAGTTGTTGGATCACCGTCACATTTATTGGTGGTCCACCGTTGTCGTATTCCTCGATATCAAAGGTGCATTCGACCCGGTGGATAGACGCGCACTTTGGGACCCTCTACTCAGGAACCGTGTGCCTGAGAACTATGTAAATATAATCAGAGTATCATACGCGCTTAGTTTGGGCAGGGTGAGGGCTTACGGCAAGTTGTCGTCGCCCTTTAATATCTCCAGCGGTGTGAGACAAGGATGTCCGCTGTCACCTTTCCTTTTCAACTTCACTAATGAAGAAGTCATGGAAATCGCGTTTATAGGACACGGCTTTGGTGTGGAGTTGCTCCCAAGGGAACAACTTCTTGACTTGGAGTATGTAGACGATATTGCCCTAAACTGTGACAGTTCCCAGATTTGTCAAGCGGCACTGGACAGATTAGCATTGGCTGTCAGCCGTTTCGGGCTTTGCTTCCCACGAAGTGCAAAGCGTTCCTCCAAGATTGGCCTGGGCCGCCTCCTACGCTGACCTTTGGTGAGAATCTGCTAGAATCTGTTCAAAAATTCACGTACCTGGGAAGTTTTATCAGCTCCGGTGGGATTGAAGATGAGACCACAAATGGTATGGCAAAAACTCGAGGCACTTTTGCTAACTTACTAAGTTACTTACGGTCTTTTTGATCGGAATGACCGAGGTCCACCTCAAGTGAATCGAGATCTCAATAGAGGTTGCTTGTAGCAACCCAACCACCAGTGGATTCTCCAAGTCCAACTTTGCACTTTTACTAACCATCGCCACCTATGGCGCGGGTACATCACCCTCGCCCTGAAGGGTATAGTGTACAATGCAACGATAGGTTCGACCCTACTGTACGGTTGTGAAACCTGGCCCCTTAGATCAGCGGACATAAAGGGGCTAGTTACGTTCGACCAACGGTGCCTTCGCCATGTGACTCACATTTGATGAGAACACCGAGTGAGCAACGAGCGTGTTCGACCCCTTGTTTACGACACAGGGAAAGGAAATGAACTGCACAGCACCGTTATTTCGCGCACCAGGCTACGATGGTTCGGCCACGTGTTACGCATGCCAGCTCACCGACTTTCGCGACTTGCGTTGTTTGCGCGCCGGGGGTGTGAATGGAAGAAGAGGAGAGGTGGCCAGGCCATAACTTAGTCGAGAGGAATGAAGGTCTTCACGTTGAAGCTGGCCTCGTTGGAGTTTCTCGGCTCCCTGGTTGAGGTCCGAAATACGATGAACAAGTTTGGCTGGATACACTTGCTGAGATGACTAGAAGCCGACCTCAGTGGCATTCGTGCTGAGTTTCTTTGTCTCACCCCATCCCTTTTAGACTCTGCCTCCAACCACGATCTCACTATTTAGCCTTTAATAATTTTGCATTATAAAATATTTGCTGTTTAATAGCCTGCTGGTAGCTTATAGAAACCATGCCCATCTATTACCGGTAACTTAGCTGGCTTACACCTGCTACATTTTCCCCGTATTTTCTTTTATGTATTGCGGCACAGTAGCTGAGGGGTTTCCCACCTCTAGCTAATATGTACTACCCCGCATGCAAGTCGGTCCGATGGAGAGGGTTTCATGGATTACCGTATTACTTCCCTTGACCTTTCTTAGTATACTTCGTTCTTTGCCTTACATCTGTTGTGGCTCGTGTTCCTAGTTAGTTCATTACTGCCTCACTACATTTTTTATCGAAATTATCTATTAAGTCAATCTTCAGACAATATTCTTGACTATACGCGGTGTGTCCTTTCTTCCTAGCTCTAGACAAGAAATTGGTTTGTTGGCTATAATTTTCCTAATCACTTTGTGTTCAACGCATTGGACAAGACTGAGATCGCATGTGTTGCATTGTCGAGAATAAACGTTTAGTTAATTAATTAAAGAAAAATTAACACTTGTCGGTTTCCTCGACTACAGCAGTGTTTTCGGTCTTGTTAACCGCTATATAGTGTTGACATATCTACACGTTGCTGGCTTCCAACCTTCCCTGGTCTTTTGATTAGACGATTGTTTCGCTAAACATACTCAGGTCACCAGGTTTGGTAGCAGAAACAATCCTAATTATCACAACCTGCGGTGTCCTTCAAAAAGCTATTTGGTCACTATTCTCATTCTTTGCTTACGTTGCCTCCATATTTGTCTGATAAGAACCTATCTAATGAAAATATGCTGTTGATTTAATTGACGGCATGAATCACAAAGCATCGGCCTTTGGATGAACTAGTGCAATGATCGAATTCTCACCGTATCCAAATGCAAATGACACTATGTTTTAAATTCATAAACTAACTAGTTACCATAAAGTTCTTAAGAAATGTCCCACACTTCAAACTAATGGTGACAAATTGAGCTTTTCGACTTCATTAAAATATCTTGGATTTACACAGAGACATGATTTATTCTGGTCACTCCAAGGGAATGAAATATTCGACAAAATAAGGTGGCTTTCGTGTTGCGTCTATCGATTGCGATTATCCCCCGTATCACATACTTTAACGCCGATGTTCATCACTGCGTGCGTTTTGCCACACTGGACTAACTTCTGATCTGGGTTTTTTCAGGCCTATTGTTTGAGCATTTCAAGTTGCTTGATAGGTTACTAGAGCACTTATCTCGCTGCAGCAGCAATCCGACGACAACTTCAATTCAGACAACGTTACTTCCTAAATGCAACTTGTTTGGAAAATATCCCATTGAAGTGTACATCCACTTCATCGACCAGACAAAAGTAGGCAGCCATTCCCAATCTGACGAGAGTGCTATGTGGACAGTACACTAATAACTAAGTGCATATTTTACCAGTAAGTCAAGTCAGAAATTGCATTATATACTTGACGAGTGAATATTCATGGTTGTTTTCAGTGAAAAGTTCTTTTTCTGCTGTTTTGCTACCATTGCACCAATATTGTTTAGCGTCTCGATGGCATGGGTGCTATGATTGAAGTTGGCCCGTTACGCACGCACGAAATACCCTTCTTGAATTTAAATCGGTATCGAAATATAGTACTAAGGAGTAGGCAGTAGTCCAATTATTTAGTGCCTAACTCATGGGCTTTGCGAATGCATTCGGAAACTAACGTCGATCAAATAGCTGTTCACACCAGTCTTTGATAACCTACCGCACAAACCCGTCACACTTGTGTCATCAAACTCCAGAGTGGAGTAGAATTGCTTTGCGGCTTCTTTATAGCGGCCCAATAGAAGCAGAACTCTACCGTGTGCAATGGGAAACTGATGATTGCCCGTGTCCAGCTCGATGGCGCGTTCACTTATTTGGGCCAGCTTCTGCAGAAACACTGGATCTCTGCCACACTAGAAAGCGAAATTTTTAGAAATGACAAGGGGATTATGGGTCGAAATGATATTGAACATATGGATAAATATTAATTTAAATTACGGGTGTTAATTAGTTGACTAGCGTACCGTCATTCAACTAAAGCCGTATTCTAATAAACGTAACTAAGAGTTCGGTCTGAAGATGGAAAAGATTAACAAAGATAAAAATGTGATGAACTAGGGGTCACGTTAAAAATGTTCACAAACGCAATTTAATTGTACCCACCACCGTGTTGGGAATGTTGTAATGATCAGATGTCATCCAAACTAAGCAGCTCAGTCACCAATTCGAAAAAGTACTTGTGTACAGAAGGAAATGAAGGTTGAGAATAGCACTAGCTGATTTAAAAGCTCTCTAATTGGTGAGCTTAAACTAGGTTTCGAGCAACATCTTCGAAAATAGCATGAGGGATCGGTTGTTTTCAGCGAAAAATCCTATATTGATAACTTTGTGATAAGATCAAGGAAACTTGGGTTTTTCGACAGTAAAGTAGTAGTCTTCTGTTCAAGAGACGCAAATATAGTTTGGTGAAAATGTCAGCACGATTGATCGATTCCTTGCTCATCGGTAGCATATGCCTTGAGGATCCAAATTAGGTGTTCAAGAACTCTTTAAGGATGAGGTTTAATTAGAAGGAAGATCTGACCTGTAGCACGTGATGTTGTCCTCGTTATTAAGCTTGTGGGTAGCAACAAAGAAGAGAAAATGGGTTTAGAAAGTTTTCAGTTGGTTCCAAAACTTGGCCTTCTAATCGCGCGTACTGATCCGTAGTAAGAATCCAGGGATTGGGTGCGAGATAATGCAAAACCGGATTACTAAATTAGGTCAAAAGTGGCTTTCAATTGTGACCTCGGGTTATCGATAAACTGACGCCATCAATAATCGGCCCTAATAAGCACTGCACTGTATCCCCAAAGCTCCTTTGGCACCCCCCCAGATCTAGATAAGCTGGATGGCTGCCTAACAGTAAAAGTCACCGTAAGTAAAATTTATCAGCATCTTTAGGTTTAAAAGTGAGATTAATTTGAACACATAGTGCAACTGATCTAACTATACTGAGCTTGTGACTGGCACCAATTCCGTCGCCGCAAACGAAGCATGAGACGCCAGCCCACTCTGTGAGTTCACCATTCAAATCCAAAGCCTAGTAACACTCCCAAGGAGAACCGTTGGTTCGGTTAATCACGATAATTCTAATGGTCGTGTGTTGACGTTGGGAAAGTTGTCTGTGTTTGGTAGGCTGCAATCTACTTGTTTTGACAAGCTGATGTGATTCTGCGAATCTGCTTATGTTACACAGTGAAGTACAGTGACTTCTTGGGTTCTTTATTAACAAGAAATTACACAGCTACATAATTATTTGGACTGTATAGCCACTTTGGTTGATGATGGTAAAAAGTTGCAAGGAACATATTCACTAAAGCTGCAGTAACCGGAACGCGCAGTGCACGACATGGTCCTCTTCTGCAGCACATGAACAAGGCTAAGGTTCGACTCTAAGCGAGAAATGTCACTCTTGAAGCCTAAGACCTTTGGTGATTTGACTTACGCTTCAGCTCAACAACCTCTTCGTGCGTGTCAACTGGATAGTCCGAGTTTACCCCGCTCCAGCAAATATTTCAGTGGCAGTGTTCCAGGACTTGCTGGGTTTTCGCTTGGCGAGCGTCCTCCCTATAAAACATCACAAATGTCTGCTTAACAACACTGAGGTGGCGTTTGTTACTCGCCACCAACTAAAGTCACCCCCTTGCTTATCCGGACAACCGCTTTAAGTTCACAGATATCAAGTATCCATTTAGCATTGGCGACAAGATCAAAAGTGCAGGAAAACATTTACAAATCCCATAAACACGGCTACACACGCTTACATGCCCACATGCATACATTCACATATGAAGATAAGTGACAACCCTATTGTTGCATTGTACATTAACTGAGCACACTTTGTACTCTTACTATGTTCATGCCTGTGCAGGCGTGCTTCGCGTAGTAGAGAATAAAAAGTTTATTTATTTATTTATTTGCTTGTGTGTATTCTGATAGAAACTAACATGTCAGCTGTACGCCTCAACGGCGCTTCGCTGCCCTGTGATCATCACCAGTCGCACGTGGGCTGAGTATACCGCGAAGACGCCCACCCCTATGCGGAATCGAACCCGCGCCGCAGGAGTATGAGACAATCTCGTTACTTTTAGGCTCCGGACCGACAATACAAACTAAGGGAAATGCACAAAAACGAGTGCAAATTTCAGGATAGGTCTTTTCACAGACAGCTGTCCGGTAGAGATATTTTGGCACTAGGATATCGGAGTACGATTCAGTCCATGCACAGGTTGCACATAATAGCCTATGTTACAGGTCAGAGGAACAGAGATTTAATCGATAAAAATGTAGAATACGACTACTCTTCAGCATATGAGGAGCATAAAGACTCTTCGGGTTAAGACGACATGATAATGTACTGTAAGCATAGTATATTCCTTCAAGGAATCTTTCAACGAGTATGACGCTCACTTTTTATAAGTTTGCTGAAGTAACTAACTGTTTGATTTTGACAAAGTGCACCAACTTCCTAAAATAATATTACAAAACTTGCGCTGCATCTTTTTACTTAAGATTGTAAACTAACCTCTGTAGTCGAATAAAATAAAAATGAATTTTGAAGCCCCAAATTCTTTTTGCAGCTGTTCATTAACATACAAACCTTTGCACTTCGATAACGGCAAAAACATCAACCGAACGCGATTATTGGGCCAAATGTTATTTGTCACATAGTCAGTAAGAAGGAGATAAGAAAGGAGCCTTTGTATGGATAACGAGTGACACGGAAGAACTAGACCACTTTTGCCGCATTAACAAATATCCTGTAAGGCAACGAGTCAAGAACGTATCTGTTTTAAACAATACAATAAGAAAAGTTGCGTAACCAACTACTCGTAGGTATCTTGCCAACGCTGAGAAGTCATGGTACATCTCAAGCATGCAAGTGTAAAACTCACCAGCACTGAAAATGATTTTGCTATAATGTAACGATGTTGAGGGTAATGCGGTTCTGTGTGTTCTAATGCCATTTCTAATTCACCAAGTTTTTTTCGAGCCTTGAGAGATGCACACTGAAGACAGCAACGTACTTCGCTTAGATTGCCAGAATAGCACAAATAATACAGCACCTGACATTTCAGTGCCTCTATAGAATGTGCGTCTATTACAAGACACCTAGGGGGTTGCACTAACCGCAGGGCGGACGTTACCTCTGAGCAGCGTCCATTGCTTGTTCCCAATCGTTCAGTATAATCTGCAGGTGCATTTTTTCAATGAGAGCTGGAATAAATTTAGGGAATTTCACTATTGTGACGTTCATTAGTTCGAGAGCCGGAACACAAGAATTGAACAGCTGAAAGTATCGAGCTTTTGCCATCAAACAGCAAAGATTTGTTGGTGTATCATCACTACAGGAATACACGTAAAATTAGAGGTCTGTTACACAACTTTGAGGCGTCTTCAAAAAAGCGGACAGCCTTTTTTCTAACGGTTTCATCCGTCGAAGCCAGATCAATCCAGCCGTGGAGACAGAGAGCCTGTTGTCCGTAGAAGTAAAGAGAAGAAAGTGAACAGGACGAACTTCGTTCAATAACAGGTTCGCTTTTAGAGCACGTTGTATGTACTCGCGTGCTTTGTCATATTTACGGAAAAAGTATAATACAAGTGCAGCGAAGTACAAAGTCTAAAATACAAAGTGTTAATGGATAGCCTAATGTTTCAATGATTGCAAACCATATCTGAACTATTTCTGCGTAATTCACGTATTTTTGATTCAAATTCTTTGATTGAGTCATGATCTGAGAGGGCGGTGTGAATAGAACTCATACCCACCAATCAAATTGCATTTTCGGTGCACGTGGACGAGAGCAAGAAGTGAAGGCAAACTGTACGTATCCTTATCTTTTAAATCGGTGAAAATCTTGATAGATTCCGGAAATTTTCCTGCAACAATAGTAATTACTCACATACCCTCTTCAGCAATTGCCACGCCTAGGTGAAGTTTTAAAGTCAGATCATTGGAAAATTGCTTTTGAGACGATTGCACCAAGAGGACGGCATGATGAGGATAACCTTCTGACAAGTAGTAGAACAATGCAGACTTTTAGTTATAATCGTTGTTCTGTACAGAACCGTTGCTACCATTATCTCCTGATTATACAAAGCCATATTGCAGCGATGTGAGGATTCCAATGGGAGTTCAACTAGTTCCAAAGGGCTGAAAAAGGAGAAGGAACCTGTAACATATACTGGAGCTGTAGCACAGTTTTGCGCAACACAGCAGACGAGTTAGCTCGTGCGTTGATCACCATGTACCGAAATGACAACGAGCTAAGAACAGCACAGTAGCGAATCCTAAGTGTTAAGCACATTATTAAAATGCACAGTTTTGAAATGGTGGCTAGTGCGATGGGCATAAATAGGTAGAGGGAAAGAAGCGAGACAAAAGTAGCAAGAGAAAAGGGTGCAACATTGCGCAGCGTTGCCACGATATTGCCTTGGGGGCTGCATCAAGTGAATATGAGGGGGCGTAAGGATGTAAATGATGTTATGGGTCATGATATAAATTGTTTATGCCATCTAGCGATAAGCCTAATAACTTGCCGACTGAATGCCTTCATTAAGTGTAATCGGTTTATGCACAATACCATCAGTATGTGTTTCAAGTGATAAGGTTGCTTAGCGCACTTCCAAACTCCAGAGCAGACATTCGTCCATCTCATCATGGTAGGTGACTGCTTTGGTTTCATTCGTATGATCCTTGTTTTCTATCGAAACATGAAGGATGGTTTGAAGGAGCTTCAACCGGAAAATGTAATTTGTTCAACCAAATGTATTTAACACCGATGAATACTCTCACCAACATACGAAATTGCTAGCAGTTGGTTTTTTCCCAAATTTGAAAACACGTTAAGAGGAAGAAAGCTGGTGCATGCGTGAATTCCGTATTGTCTCCCAAGTACCCTTAACAGTAGTCGATATGCAGTTATGTACCTAATTCTGGCTATGACCAAACAAAACTGACGTGCTAATTGTATGACGAAAGTTCAGCACTGTGTCCGTGGCAGCTTAGGGCTGCTTACTAGTTAACTCTGAACACACATCGTTAGCTTCGCCCAGCTCACTGAGACAAATTGAACGAAGCGATGTGATGTAGCGTAATTGTGAACACTGATCTGAGCTCTATCCAGTAAGGTAAGAACATTAGGCCTTTACATTTTCAGGAAATTAACGGCCAGTACGAATGCGAGTGTTGAGGTGCGCCTGGATGTTGGTCAGATTCATGCTGCAAGAACTTTGGTACATAACCATTCGGGAAGTCAAAGACCTAACGATGTTGGCTGGGTGTAACTTGCATCGCAGTCGCACACAAAATGGTTTATGCATCATCAGCATCATGAACAACAGTACATAAGTCATTTCCACTGATGCTACACAGCCGCATACCAATAAGATATCTTTCACCAAATTATAGAGGATGCGGCACTAGAATCCTACAAATTGTGTTTCAATCAGAGCAAAAGCCAAGGATATTTTGGATCGATGGCGCGAGAACTCGGAAATGTCTTCCTTCTGAACTTCAGTTCAAAGCCGCCGAAGCTTTTCACCTGAAGTAGCCAACGTACCGACGATGATACAGGAGCTTGAGTTGACTGCTCCTTCATTCCACTCTGAGGTTGGTCAAAACGAAGAGTCGGATGCACCTTGGCCGAATCAAGTTTTAGATGAGGTATCAGTATCCCAACAAAAAACCAGTAACTGCCAACCTCCCTTCGGTTGGCATTCTCTCACACTTAACCCATCTGACCCTCTGTGGGCTCCTAGAGCTCGAGAAACCGGCCTACTTTTATATCAATACTCAGGGTCTTTTTCGTAAACTGGTCGAATTGAAAGAGTGCCAAGCTTCCGGGTCATAGGATGTCATTGGTATCACTGAGAAGTGGTTACACACTAGAATGACGGACGCAGAATTTTGGCTACCGCGCATCTCACTCATCCGAAACGATAGACTCACAAAAGGAGGAGGAAATAATTTGATTTTACCGAAGCGACTTACAGTGTGAAGCCGTGGAGGATTCAGACTCGCAGTTCTCCGACTCACGTTGGTGCCGCTTGCGGTTAAAAGGCAGAGACGCTTGCTTTATTTCCCTGGGGTACCGCCCCCTAACTTTACACCCGAAACCGACTGCGACCTTGCGGCTGCTTTAAGATGCAGTCTAAAGCGAAAGTACACTCACATCCTTATCATGGGTGACTTCGGCGTACATTGTTTATAAACCCCTGTCACGATCGGAGAACAACTCAAAGCCGATCCACAAGAGCTCGTAACCACGGTTCCTCTTTACAATCACATCACTTTGCCCACTCGGTTCAGAATGGGTAACAGGCCATCTGTGCTGTATCTGGTGCTTACCAACGATGAGTATATGATTAACGCGTTTGTTTTAGACCGTCCGTTGGATCGCAGGGATCACACAGTCATCACTTTCAACTTCGTCTGCTATGCCGAATATCGGAATGAGAACAATGCGACCGTGCGAACCATCAGAAGCTACGATAGATTAGCCCAGCTCGTCAGGACCACAACTTGGTCGTTCTTTGCCATAAAACCCACGGAAGTCGCCTGTCTCGAGTTCGTCAACAAGTTCCGTCAGCTGATTGCAGAGGCTTCAGTGATAACAGTTTGTAGTGAGTGCACATCAGTTTCTTTCGTTCGGAGCAGAACTCGAAAATGGATGATAGTACGTAAAGCATCATGGCGAGGGTACAGAGATGCTCCAACACTAGAAACTTGGGACAAATATGTAGCCCAACCTAACAACTGCACGCAAGTGCTCAGCAAAGACAAAGCCGCATATCGGTAGAACATAGCAAAAACCTTCAGCGCTAACCACAAACTGTTGTGCAAGCACGTTAATAGCCTACGAAAGGTGAGACAAGGATTTCCTCCACTCAGGACGGCTGATGGCTCAACAAGAGCTGCTATGGAAGCAGCACACGGATATGATATGCCCCCAAGTTTCAGAGGATCTTACCACCAAACTATCTTCCAGTTTTGTCATCTCTCCGTCAGGACTAGCGCATATCACTTTTACCGCGGAGCTTGCATTGCGAAAGCTGACGACTATACGCAAACACAGCTAGCCGGGTAATGATACCTTTCGTCCAGAGGCACTGGGAGCAGCAGCAAGCCAACTGGCAGGATCATTAGCCCAGTTTTTACGGCGCTGCTTAGACCAGAATCAACTTCCTGCCATGTGCAATCTTGGAATAATAGCCCCGATTGACAAAGCTGGAAGCAGAACTGAGTCCTCCAAATACCGTCCAGCATCCCTACTTCCTAAAATCACCATGGTCATGGGATCCATTGTTGCCGATGCACTGGTGTGTTATCTGGAAAACTGTAACATCATCATGCCTGAGCAGCACGGCGTCCATTGCCAGGGTTCAGGTACAACGAATTTACTAATCGCACGCAGTAGTTGGACCGAGTCAGCTAACGCTGGGGAAGGCGTTGATGTGATCTACCCGGATTTTTCGAAGACTTTCGATGTCCTAGACCAGGGATGTCCAAAGTCCGGCCCGAGAACCAAATGCGGCCCGCGTTAACATCTCAACTGACCCGCGCCTTATCATGAAATAATACATTCTAGCTTTGACCTTTTCGTACGTGTAATTTTTGTTATTATCTTACTGTCAGACTGAATATGGCCCACCATATTTTTACCACACAAAATGCGGCCTTCCTTGCAAAAGTTTCGAACCCCCGGTCTAGATCATCGGATACTACTTTCCAAGCTCCAGTATTACGAGAGCGGCGACCCACTTTTAAGCTGGATTGCCAACTTTGATCAACAGCAATTGGTGATCAGATTTCGGAACTCTTTATCGGACTGCATACAAGTCGAGTGTGGTGTTCCGTAACTTTCAGTACTAAGCCCACGTTTGCTTTTGGTGTTTATTAATGACCTTGCACAGGGAATCGCTTCAAACTTCCTAATGTTTGTCGACGATATCAAGATTTGGAGCAAGATTCACATGAATTCCGACGAGCATCTGCTTCAAACAATAATGATAATAATAATGTGTCAGCTGTACGCCGTAAAGGCACTTCGCTGCTGCGCGACCACCACCAGTCGCGCGCGGGCTGAGTATATCGCGAGGACGTCCACCCCTACGCGAATTCGAACCGGTGACCTTATGGTTGCAAACCGAACGCGCAGACCACTCGGCCACCGGCCGGTCAACACAAAATTTACTTCATTTCAACGAGTGTAAATACTAGGTACTTTCCATCCGACACCAGAACAGCTACTCATACTGGCTCGGAACAAATGTACTGCAACAACCAACTGTCAAACGTCTCTTGGGTGTGCTGGATCAAGACGATTTGGGTTGTTCCGGACAATCCAAAAATACATCGGAGACTGAAAACCAACACGTCGCGCTGTTGTGACGGGCGGTTGGAGAAGCCAACAGCTCCATATTTCGACAAATGCTGAGTGCGGAAGTTCGTCCCCATGTCGAATGCGCAATTCAAGCCTGACATCCATGGTTGAAACATTATCTCAGTGCACTGGAGCAGCCACAACGACGGGCATCTAAGAACGTAACTGGAATGCGCAATCCTTCATAGGAGAAGAGGCTGAAAGGATTGGGGTATTAAGTGGACGTTATCGCAGAGTACGGGGCGCCCCATTTTTGACATATTTGATTCTGCAAAACCTACATCATTTGTACAGCCCTTTACTGCAACTCAGTAGCAATACAAAAATGAGGGGCCACTCATTGAAACTCGCCGTATAGTTTAGCCGACTGGAGTACTGCAGAAATTTCCTTTCCATTCATGTCTGTCATCCGTGGGATGCTCTCCAAGAATCGGTCGTCACTGCACCGACACCAGCAGTATTTAAAAGACGGTTGGATGATGTAATCACCCACTTACACTTTGTCACTTAGCGCTACGTCTACATCATACTCATAGTTTAGCATGGATTTACCTGATGTTAACTGTGGGTGTTGTGAATCTACGCGGATTGCGGAACTACAGGGGCTCAAACGATAAGGTCTTGTTTTCATATTTGTAGTATTAAATTGTTTCCTATTATTATTAACAATATTGTTATGTCGAAATCTCCACCAAATATTTAACGGGAGTTGTAAAGCTACACTTCTTATATATATATATATATATTTGCAACAGTCTATGAATAGACATTG